TTTACTTAAAAAAAAATTCATTGGTGGAAAAAAGATGATAAAGATATATGAGATATATATATATATATATATATATATATATATATATATATATATATATATATATATATATATATATATATATATATATATATATATATATATATCCATCCTTAGGTCAGTATATAATATTAGTGTGTATCTGTGGACACCTGGAACCAAACCCCTGTGATATACATGCTTGAGTATTCATGTGTATAATAGCTTAACAAGGTTTCTCCATATGCTCAATAGCAGGTGTGAGTGGCCTCTGACTCGCCCTGCAGAGCCCAATGGCTGACATAGAGGCTTTCTGATTCTACATTTGAAGTGGCAAGAGTCGGCTGTATGAGCTAATATAAAATGTTAGGGTTTTTAGGAGATTTCTCTAATCATGTTCAGTTTGATCTCACGATGAACTTACACAGTTTTGAAGACTAGTACCTCCTGCAATAGAATGGATGATTTCAAATTCCCCTTTATGATATCAAATCTACCCTGAATTTAATGTTTCAAACACACATGTATTCAAATTTTTATTCATCTAATTTACAATGTATACTCAGGCTTGATTCCAGAAGAGGCTGGGGCATAGTAGGGTAGGAGCTCACTGATCAGTTGTTTGGTAAATCAGGTTGAGAACTGACCATTGGGTTCTCGCCTTTTTTGTCTTAGCAAGTTTAAAGTCTAGCAGCTTTGCAGCCCCTGATTCAGTCACTGTCTGTTGGAAAACACACAGAAAACCCTTAGTTTTATGGAAGAAAGTAGCAACTGTAGTTTCTAATAAGAAATAAAGCTTATTATATCACCTGAGATTTGAAAACAGTGGTATTGTCACTGAGTGCAAAAAGACTATTCATATCCACAGCAAGTCAGATTTCAATTTCCACAGCAAGACTTGTTTGAGCACTGAAGTGCTCCATGTTTGAACTCTGACACATAAACTGCTTTAATACCAAAGAACAAGAAAGGTCATTTTACATCTACTGAATAAATAAGCCAAAGGAGATTTTGGATTCTATTCTTTGAAGCGATGGCTTAAAACTGGAGCTTATCTGGGAAGTGTCTTAGTGGTATGTCTTCAAGCTAATCTACGTCCTCTGGCAGAAAAAAACAGCAGCATGTTTAGAAGAAGATGGATTGGGCATTGGGAAAATCTGGAACAAAAACGTCTATGATAGAGCTAAAGGTTTGGCCTTGTTATACGTTCAAAAAAGATAATGATGCACAACATATCTCAATTTATTCTGATGTTTGGGTTTTCAAGGAAGTCCTGAAAGATACTAGTGGGACCATTATGTTGTCCCAGTTTGAACTTTGTTGATTGCTTTTTTTTAAGAAGGAGGTTTGCCAAAGTCAAGGATTTTCTCTTTAACTGTAGGCCTGTGTCCTAGAATAACGGGCTAACTGCTTTTTGGTGTAGAAATCCTATTTGCTGCAGATCATAATAGCAAAAGGTTAGTCTAATAAGATACTAAAGATAATTGCCATGAAGTAATGTTAAGTAGACATTTTATATGTTTTTTAAATTATTTTTGGTTTAATATTGAGGAATCAGAGGATATTAACTGATGGCTTATGATATTAGTAAGAATGTTTTCTTATTTTCTAGTGTGGTGTTGTTAGAAAAGGCCCGATAAGGTAATATAACTCAATCAGAGAACTAGAGTAAAAAAATATATATATATTAGAACACCTGAGCCAAGTATTACTAACCAATGGTTTACATAAACCTTTAACAAAAGCAGCTAGAAGAGGAATATTTCTAACTGCACGCTTATATCAGAGATTTAAGGTACAGGCAGAATTCTTTTTTTTTATTTCTGATGTCAGGTTGGAGATACATGGTTAAGTTGTGTAAAATTTCACCAATACTCTTAGTAACAAAGGTCAACAATGAACAATGGTGTCTTATAATGAACTGATTTTATGCCCTTCTTCAGACTATTAAATGATTTCCTTTATAAATAAGTTGCATCAGCTGCTCTCCTATCACTTCTTCCAATCTACTGTTTTCAGTTTCTGGTCACATCATGGCTTTCAAACTACAGTCTGCTGTGCCAACCTGTGGATTACAGCACCAGTCCGCTGGCCATGAGGGTAAGGCTCGATACTCCTGACACTAGTATGTGTATCTGATTCTGCTCAATGTACATCCAGCAGAGTGATTAAAGATGACAGGGATATTATTCAACCAGAAACATGTTTTTTTTCTTTAGATGGCAAGCGTTTGTTGGTGGTTTTTCTTCTCTAAGGTCATAGAGCTCAGCGACACGGTATAAATCATTTCTTCTCGTTATTCAGCGTGTCATCTTTTAACTGTGTTTAAGTGCAATATTGTAAACACTAAAGCCTCCTTTTCTCCTCTTGAGCAGTTCTTCTTCATCTTGAGGAAGAAGGACAGTCAGCTGACCTTCCTTCATGTTTACCATCATGGCACTATGATCTTCAACTGGTGGGCAGGAGTCAAGTATGTGGCTGGAGGGCAGTGTAAGTCAAGCTGTCATTTATTTTCATAAGATTTATTTGATTGATCAAGACAAAGTTGAGAATATGTCTGAATTCCGAGGACGCCATTGTAAAGTGAGCAGTTCTGTTTTTGAAGGAGTTGCAGAGATCAACATTCCTGGTGCAGGAAATCACAACTTTTAATCGTGCTCTTTAAACATCTGGCATTTATGTTAGAGCGAGTTGGGGTTAGAAGTCATGTTTGCAATTTATCATAAAAGAAAGCGGGGATAAAACATGCTGAAGATGGTACTACAGTCAGATTAGACTGAAATCCTACTGTTTTACCTGAAAAAGTTGTGCCATGGTCGTGGCAGCATCAGGAAGTGGGAGTGCTTTTGATTTGTTCATCCTTTTTTTAGGCTGAAAAATACTTTAGCAGAGGTTCACGAGTAGGGCAATAAGCATAACACCCAAATCTGCTCTGTCCCTTCCGCCTGTCTCATCACCATGGGGAGCAGAGACTTCAGCCGCTCTGCCCCCCGCCTCTGGAACTCTCTACCACCCCTACTTAGAAACACGGACTCAATTCTCCATTTTAAAATGCAACTCAAAACTCATCTATATAAGATTGCGTATTCTCTTTAGATATTAATTTCACTGTCACAGCCTCTGTATTTTTTTTAATGTTTTTTGATTTTGTTTCTGACATTGTGTTTTTTTAAGCTTTTTGTACGGTGACCTTGAGTGTCTAAAAAGGTGCCTTAAAAAAAAAATACTAAGTTTCAACTGAATGGTGTAGATTAAATCATATTCCTGTGTTTCAGTGTCCCATTCAAAGTAATAATTTGGGAAATAACTATTTGGCAGAGAAGGATGGAGCAAAAATATGTCTCCAGATGTGCAAAATTAATAAAAAATGTTATTTCAGGTGGGGCTGAATAAAATGGACTTTTAATTCAACATATTTTAATTCAACCTAAACATGCATCACTTTGCATTACGTGGGTATAAGTGTTTCATTTCATGTAAGGCCACTCTTTTTGGCTTCCAATCTTACCTCCACATTTTTATTTCTGACACACTCTTTGCAGCTTTCTTCATTGGCCTTGTAAATACCTTTGTTCACATCATCATGTACTCTTATTACTGCCTGGCTGCCATCGGCCCTCATATGCAGAAGTACCTTTGGTGGAAGAGATACCTCACCTCTCTCCAGCTGGTTAGTTGCTCCACACTGTTCTGATTATTGTTGTTGCTGGATGCACAATCACAGTATCTCTAATTTAATCTAATCTCATTTGCTTCTTCAGGTGCAGTTCCTGCTCTTCCTCCTGCACACAGGCTACAACCTTTTCACTGAGTGCGACTTCCCAGACTCTATGAATATTTTCGTGTTTGGTTACTGCGTTACCCTCATCATCCTGTTCAGTAACTTCTATTACCAGAGCTACCTCCTCAAGAAGAAGCAGAAATGAGCCATCAGCAAACTTCAGGCTGAAAGTGCTGAACTAAGAGGGGCCAAGCATCCTCAGTGGAGATCTGCAGTATTTTCCTCTGTCCACTAGAGGGCACAAACCACCCACAAGTCTGAGTTTTTTGTTTTTGCTCAGACTCCAAAAAATGATATAAACTGTTTGAATCCTCACTGTTTGATTTTTATTTTCATAAATGACACTCAAATGGTTGCTGTAAACAAACTGTACATTTTATACACAATAATATTATTAGTAATAACAATAATAATAATAAGAGGCTGGGTGTCTCTGCAGTGTCAGAGGACTATTGAGCCAGTAACCTCTATCAGAAATAAATTCAAAAGCAAAAAAAAAAAAAAAAACACTTAACACACAAAAAGAAAATAAACTTTTTTCCTCCACTCATTAAACCATCACAGCAAAATAATATATTTTACACTTCAGTCCACAAAAAAAATGGAAAAGATTAAAGAAAAAAGAAGAGAGTGAAGAGAAAGAAAAGCTGTTCGGACGGTGCACAGATCTTGGCGTTTGTGATACTTGAAGTTCATACATTAAGACTGAAGATGAAGTTGGATTCTGCTGTGATTAGTGGAATTCAGTAAAATGATTTGCTCAGGTACATTTTTTCACATGAAAAATTATTGTTTGCTTTGTTAATGTACATTAAAATATCTCTGCGTACCAAGTGGTTCTCCTGGTTTTTACTGATGCAGCTGCAGATTGAAAAAAAATATAGAGAATGAAAAATATATATTTACATTTTATTTATTTAGGCATGGTTAAGCTTTTTCCAGGGTAACAATATACTGGTAGAGCTGCCTTTAAAACAACATTTACTCATGGTTTAAATCAAATGATTTCTTTGCAGCTACTATATCATTTTGCTTTGATAATTTAAGTGAAAAAAAAATCACAGTTTAAGTACCCTGCGAAGTATCATGACCCCTTACTTTTCTTAGATTTGTTAAGTTATGAAGAAAAACAGAAAAAACATTTTTGTAAAAGACCGACACAAAGTAGCACATTTTAGGTGGAATAAATATGATGCATGCTTTTCAAATATCTAATCAGAAAAGTGTGACAGTCTTCTGTAATGCGTAAACCTAAAATCACTAACCGTTGGAGCACTTTCTACAGTCATTGGTACAACTCTTGGTGTAATATGTTCTTTTTTTAAGTTTGAGGTGAAGTTCTGTGAACCACTTCTATTCAGGATTTACCAACGTTTCTCTATTAGATTTAGCTGAGAACTTTGACCATCGTAAGACATAAAAAAACTTTGGTCTAAACCATTATGTTACTTTTATGGTTCTCAGTTTAGGGTGGCCCTGCTGTAAGGTGAATCTCTGCCCCAGTTTTGAATCTCTTTGCGCCTCTAACAGGATTCTGTTCCCTTCATGATCCATCAACTTTAACAAACTTCCCTGGCCATGATGATGAGCATCTTCACATCATAATGCCCCCACTACTGTGCTTCATGATAGGGATGGTGTGCTTGAGGCTATGCAAAGTGTTAATTTACTGCCACAGAATAAAGCCTTTAGGCCAGAGGTTATCTTTGTACTAAATTCTCCAAAAGGTTTGGGTCTGGACCTTCTTGGAAATGGGAGAAATATACTTTAAGTATGTGTATCAGGATAAAAGGTTGATGACAACAGCATGCCTCGCATATGTTATTAGCTATGCATTACTATGTCTCAGTCTTAAACATAAAATCCACACAAAAAACTGTCTGATGTTGTACCATGAGAAAATGGGGATAGGTTTTAGGGGTATGAATACTATTGCAGGGTTTTATAAGCAGTGTATCCTGTAAAGAACCCAAAAGGCTTTTATTATACCTTACAATGAGGGCAAAAATGTTTAAGGGAAATGGTGAAACTTTTTTATTCAGCTGGTTTGTGTGGTGCAAAAGTCAAAATGATGAAAAGTAGGTATTGATATGAAAAACACATAAATAAAAACAGGAGGTGGAGATGCGTTCAGTGGGAGTAGTGAAGCCTTCCCTGCTCCGGCTCGCCTCTTATGTTTCCGTGTAGACTGATGACATGTGGCTCAAGCTGCGGTCAAAGCTGCCAACCTGGAAGAAGATGCTGTCGTCTGGGCTGGAGGAATACTGGCACCCTGCACCCCCCTGCAGCTCCTGGGTAACGCTAAATCCTGGTCCAAATATTATTTTATATCAGAAGATGTTAAGTGGACATCAGTAATTCTTGTATGAGGATTAGAAGAACAAAAACATAATATTTACCTGTAGGTCCAGTGTTGCTGGTTGACATGTGAAAGCCATTGTGTTGATGGGGGGAATAGGTGTGAGCATCTCCTGGGACGTGGACGCCGCTGACTGGTTGCTCCACCCTATAGGAGTCTCCAAAATGGAAGCAGCTCTGAAAGCTGGCTTGGTATTCTAGGATAAAGGAAGGGAGGAAATGATGGAAACCAGACTTGTTTAGCGGCCGCAGCATCCATTCTACAGCTGATTGTTTCTAATGCCAGCACCGTCCGTCTCAAGCTTCTAAAGCTTCTCACATCATTACAACGCTATATTTGTGCCTGGGCAAACTCTGCCAGCCTCATACTGTGCTACATTTGTCCCCGTAGCCTCAGCCTCTACTCAGGAACAACCGCAAGAGTCTTGATAATGGGAAAGAAGCCTCTCCTGCAGCACTTTTACGCAACTCCCAAACCACAGGGTGGTTAGAGAGGCGGCCGAGTGGAGATCTTTACAGGGAAAACAGTGTTCAGGACATTTGGGGAAAAAGCTTCTGAGTGACAGCTGAGACGGCTAAATGCATGAGCCAGCATTTTGTTGGCCAATCCAGCAATGGTAATAGGCTTCCGGCATGTGGTTCCAAACTCTGATCTCTTTTTTTTTACCCTAGCAGCACTCTGACAGAGCCGCAGGGCAACACCAGCCATCTAGGAGACAACTTCCTCTTACTGCGGGTCTTTGATGTGAATCTGCTGCTATTTGCATTTGTAAACAATTAGGAGTTCAGAATTTTAAAGTACCTGACCATCGAAGTCTAATATACCATAGGTAGCATTATAGCACAGTCAATATCTGTAAAAAGTTTGTAATCTTTGGGTTAACTTTACCATCAGAGGCAGCCTGATGATGGTGGTAATGTGGGTAAGGCTTGTGGTGAGGGTGACCATGTTGTTTCTCCTGTGACAGAGGAGGAGGAGTCCCAGTTGCCTTTAAACCCGGAGACAGAAGAGGGCCTGACACCCTGCTAGGAAAAAACAACAGAGGACGGGTCAAAATAAGCTAGTTTTTTTCCCAAAACATTCAGAAATCTGCAATAAAAAGTAGGAGCTGAATGTCGGATTGAGAACAACACGGGAGTCGACAAACCCAGGGGAACTGAAACTGATCTGAAGATGTTGCCCAGGAAACTGTCCAGGCATGATGATATTTAGGCTCTGCACTCGTAATGACCCCAGTGACCTTTCTATGAGCCAACTTAAAGACACCCTTACAGTTCCCTTTTAATACTTTTATATACTAAGCTAATATCACAGTGTGAAAGGAATTCCCTTCTATGTTAACTTATTAAAAATATATTATTTCTCACATCATGTCTGCAAAACTGAAATTGGAATCTGTATTTCTTTAATATTTTAAGTCAAAGTAAAAAAAAAAAACATTGTTTAAAGCTGTGAAGGTTAAACTGTTAACTGAGGTATAATTTATTTAATTCAACATGTTTTCTTCTATTTTATTGTTTAATTCATGTAAAGCCCTCTGAATAATCTTTGCATTGAATTGTGCTTTATAAATAAACTTGCCTTATCTAGCATTCAGTAATTCAATTAAATCAGTAAAAGTTGCATACATTACACACAGACAATAATAACTACACTTGAAAATAGTAACTACAAAATTTAGTTAAGGAAAATTGAATATAATACCAGACAAAAAAAGACTTATGACAGAAATGTGATCCTATTGGAAGGTGTGTCCATATATTATACAGAATATGCACTCGACAGTTTGTACCTCATTTTGCATGAATTTCTTCATTATTGTGGCATAAAGGGTGGGCGATAAGCCAGATACAGCTAAGAGAAGTGATTAAAAAAGTTGATGTTAAACAGTTAGCTTCGGTAAATGAAACAAACCCAGATCTATACTCAAACAGAGTGCCTTCAGACTGAGAAAATTCAGCAGCTACTTACGACTGCATATCAGGAATGCCAACACATAAACTGCTGCTGCGTTACTACGTGCCGCAGAGCTGCAGAGGCATATGGTTTGCAGTAAGCTCTGTAAGATCGTGATGACAGAGTGTTGCTGGAGGCGGCTGAGCCCTTAGATGACTGCTGGCCTGGCTGGAGCCCACTGCATGACCTAGTGCTACATGCACGAAGCCTGTCCCACCCATTCAGGTGCCGGCAGGGATTGGAGCAGGACGTTTGGCCGGTGAAGAGAGAAGGTCATCTCAAACAACAGAATAAGGAACTTTAAACCTTTGGTGCCAATAGTGAATTTATTTCTATCAGTTTGAAAATGTTGCCTGAGGCTAAACATATATTAATCTCTGTCAATAGAGATTATTTTGAAACTGTAAATGTTTTCTTTTAAGAAAGCAGATGGCTCTTTTATAAGAGCATATCTTTAATTAATTATCCTTTTTCAATCAGGATTCCAACCTGAGAGGTAGATAAATAACATACAGTTATGTATGTTGTACAGTTTAAATGTTAGCATTTAACAATATAATTGGAAAATTACTTTATTTATAAATTATTTAAATTTAGCAGAAAACATGTAATGAACATAGTGATGAATTAGATTACTTACACAAAATAATGAAGTGATAATGATAATATTTATGCTAAATTTGGCTCTGAGGTATGTTTATGACACCATGAACTGATAAAATTGTTTAGTATAATTTAATTATAAGAAACTTTAATCGTCTGCTTTAATCCTGCATTCTGAAGATGATAAGAAAATGTTATTGTCCATGTTGAAAGGCTACTAGCCCAGGAAGAAGCAATTTTCCAAATGATAGCTTGCAAATTCCCACATACCCTGTAGTGTGATTGAAAGCAAATTGATTTTTTAAAGGAGAAGTTCGGTTTTTAACACTTTTAGCCCATTTTCTGTAGTGTCCAGGATGAAATCGAATGATCGACACCAAAATTTTGACAATTGCTCCTGTCTCTGCTTTTTGGCTCATTTAGAATCCACCCCTGGCTGCTTTAGAATGGCTTCCATAGAGCATGTCCGATAATGTCCTTAAAACAACCTTAAACGTTCTTTTTTAAAATATGCTACTCACCGGGTCGTCAGCGCTGTTCATTGACGTTCCAAAAAAAGTTTCGTAAAGAAAAAACGTTCCTGTAGTGTTTTATTTAGCATTTTGTAAATCCCATTGAGTTCTGTAGGAATAGTCAATATTCCGCTGCCACCGGAAACGGAAATGGGGCCTGTTTACACAGTTGTAGTCTTTTCGCTTCACTCTGTGTACTCCGACGTCGAGAATCAAGAATCCACCTTTCGTATTCCATTTTCAGAGTTTTTTAAAGTGTTTAACAGAGACGTTAGCACCTCGACGTCGGAGTACACAGAGTGAAGCGAAAAGACTACAACTAATCGTAAACAGGCCCCATTTCCGTTTCCGGTGGCAGGGGAATATTGACTATTCCAACAGAACTCAATGGGATTTACAAAATGCTAAATAAAACACTACAGGAACGTTTTTTCTTTACGAAACTTTTTTTGGAACGTCATTGAACAGCGCTGACGACCCGGTGAGTAGCATATTTAAAAAAAAGAACGTTTAAGGTTGTTTTAAGGACATTATCGGACATGCTCTATGGAAGCCATTCTAAAGCAGCCAGGGGTGGATTATAAATGAGCCAAAAAGCAGAGACAGGAGCAATTGTCAAAATTTTGGTGTCGATCATTCGATTTCATCCTGGACACTACAGAAAATGGGCTAAAAGTGTTAAAAACCGAACTTCTCCTTTAAGCCATGATGATCTTTGTCACAATTTTAGAAAAGAGGGAGCAGAACCGTGTTGTGTTTATTCTTTTTACTGAAAGGACACTTGTTTTCACAAGGAAAGAAAATTGGGTTTAAAAAGCAACATCTCAAGAAAATTAAAGCTTGGGCTCAAATTGGTCCAAATGGAAAGCAATCCTAAGCATACCATCGACTTACAAAATGACGTAGACCGTAGACAACAAAATCAATATTTTGCTGTGTTCATCCCCTGATGTCAGCAACATAGACTATATGTGGACAGAGGTAAAGAGGTCAGTAAGCAAAGCTGTTAGGTGGAGCGGGCCAAACTACACTAGTTTTTGGAGAGAGGCCAAACATTTGACCAAAGCCTTTCAGTTTAAAAGGCAAGTTTACTAAGATCATCTTTATCAGTGTTTCCCAAGTGGGGGTAGACATACCCCTTGTGGTCCACCAGTGCATTGCAAAGGGGTACATGAAAATATTTTATTTCTTAGGTAGTAAAATAAAATAGGGCTAGGATCTGTTTTGCTTTCTGATGACCCAACTGAAACATTAAACAAGCTTTTATCAACCAAAAAGTAAGTTTTTCTTCTATGTTTGAATTCACCTTCAGCTTTGACACACATCAAACCAAGTAGAGGAACAGACTGGAAGTAGAGAACATCCTGGGATCAGCTGTTTTTCACACTGAGCTATCGGAGCTCAGCAAAGCAGCTCAGGTGTTTTGATGAAAACAAAGTAAAACTAATTAAGTCAGTCTGAATATAATTTATTTTTAATTTTTTGTGTATTTTGTTTCAGATTCATTGAGTTTAAATGTGATTATAAGGGAGTTACTCTGTTATGTTTTTATTTAGTATTTATTTTGATTCCTTCCCAACTTCCAGGCAACATATTTATGTTGCTTTTTTTATTTTGGGTAAATGATAAGAATTAACGGCTCAAATTAAATTAAAAGATTAAGTAAAATAGTCTTGATTATTTTATAATCAGTTATTGTACGTTCCACGTTCACAATTATCAATACCTTTGACTGAGAGGGGTACTCATGGTACGGAAAAAAATGCCCAAAGGGGTACGAAAAGGTTGGGAAACACTGACTTAAATCATGTTTGGAATCTAACAAAAGTTAAGAAATAATTTTTTTGCTTATTAATCTGGCTTTCTGTGAAAACGAGGAAATTACAGTCCAACAGCAATTATATTTAATCATATATCAGATGGTAAGAGTTCAGCTTTAAACATATTGTTTATAAATATCTGTTTTTAACTTTATGTATATTTATGAATATTTATCTTATTGTATTTCATATAAGTATTCAAGAAAATCAAAGACCCACAGAATTTCTACTTTTATATGTGTGTGTATATATATATATATATATATATATATATATATATATATATATATATATATATATATATATATATATATATATATATATATATAATTTTTTTTCTTCAGTAAAAAAAAATATATATATATTTATATATTCTTCTTCCCTTTATGATGATAAAAAAGTTGTAGTGCAACCTGCTGAAAACAATTGACTTCAAACGTATTAAAAACAAAGGGATGCTCATGTGGCACCTTGTCCGACAGCAGCCCAGAAGAAGGTAGCTGTTACCAATCTTGACTAATTCATCTGTTGGCACAGACCCAGATCACAGCAATGTGTTCCTGCAGAGAGCAGTGTTCCCCCAGGAGCTGCTGTCAGCGCAAACTCAGGAAACAGTTATACCGTTCATATTTTTACAAGCTGCCTCTATGTGCAGCTAAAGTGAATCATAAGCTAATCACTCCCAGCTGCTCCATGCCCTGATTTTGCTTGTTTGGCTCCGCTAAAAGCGACTCAGGCTCCAGGTATGAGGAAAATCTTTCATGTGCCACATTCATCTATCGCTTGAAATTCATTCTTACTGATCGTCCTGTACTACTAGGCTTTTTTCCCCCTAAGTTGGCCCACCCACTAAAGTCGTCATGGGACAACAAAGCAATTTGATCATTGGCCTTATGGTTTGCTTAAAGTCGAGTTGGATGATGAGTTAAATGAATATCAGGTTCAAACTTCATAGCAGCAAAGGAACTCTAGAGTGAAATATCTGTAATGCAGGGCCCCGGCATATTTATCAACATGTTTATAATTTTCAAGGTTTATTTATTTTACATTTTTCTTTATATCTTTGCTAAAGAATACATACCATAATTAAACTAAAACCCTGCTATAACCATGAATGGATTGACAGAAATCTAA